CTCCAGGCAGCTGCTTGACTTATTCTATCCTTTTTTTCCATAGCTACTTCAATGAAATACTCCAATTCCTATTACTTTGTTTTACTGTTCTCTACAGTACTTATCATTCCTTGACAAATACTTTCTGTTGTGTCTCCTCCTCTTTCCATTTCCTGCCTAACCAAAGATAATTTATGGGAGACGTATTTTATGCTTTTCCCCCTATACTGTATTTTCATGCTTAAAACAATGTCTGGCACATACCAGTTCAATAAATAATAGTATAATCATGAACGAATTAAATGATACTATCTTGGTCAACATGATAACAATGTTTACCATAAGAGACAGACAATGGTCAATTGGATGACAAGGTTTAAATAATGTTTTCTTTTGTTTGTATAGACTATTGTATCTTTTAAATTTTAATATCAGGTATATGTATTTCCTACCTCAAAAAGGAATTTTTTAAATCAGTATTTTAAAAGGGGATTTTTAAAGTGAGGTCCAAAAAATCACTTTAATAAAAAGATGTTTTTTTCTGGATAAACACTAAAATCGAGGTTTTTTTTCACAGAAATGCTATCCTGCAGCGTATCAACCACCCTTTGAAACTCTGTTCTATTTACAAATCTTAACACACATGCTTTCTGCATCTTTTCCAAATTGAGTGCTCCATACAGATTCCGGGCATATTCAAGTATGAAAAAAGAAACTTCTGTTGTATGGACATCAGTTTTTAGTGAAGCAATGGTAATTTCTAGTGATAAACACAATCCTTTTCTGAAGATTTATAAATATTTGACATAACAATGCAAGTTCTTAGGTTCTATTAGCTCTCAGCACGAAATCATCAAATATATTCCCTTATAAATTTTTGAATATTATTTACTTTTAACTTTTCTGGCATTAGTCTTTTTCTTTAAAAACACTCAAAATGATTTTAAAACTGCCCAGAAAATTCACTCTGTATGAGACAAAGTCAGTGGATCTCAAGAACCAGTCTCATCAAAGCAGTAACAGAATTTTACATTGTTTTCTCTCCTAGGCTTCCATCTCCTCCTTCCAGCTTTCTCAAGTTGAGTCACTGCCCATCTTAAACCACAAGGTCAATATGAATTGAAAGCTCTTTCCTATTTGTCTCACACACAATCACTATGGTCTCCCAGACAACCTTCTACACACAGTGGGCTCTCCCCTTCCATTTCCTAGGCCCTCTGGTGGAATTCAAAGAAACAAAACTGGTTTTTGATCATGTTCTCTCCAGTGACTGAAGTGAAGATTTGTGTGTAGATATATCAACTATATCTTTTACTTTCATTGCTCATTAAATTTTCCAGTACCTTTTTCTAAATACTCTCAGTCATTACTGAAATGATTTAACTGTAAAATTAAATCCTAATAAAGCCAAAGATTTTGGAGTAATACTCAACTTCAGTTACTTCTATGAAAAATCACAAACTGAAATAAATGATAGATTTATTTTCCACAGCTATATAGTTTGAATAGTTGTGCTCGTATTTATTTATCTTGGGCTGACTTCAGAACACTAAGTCATGTTCTTGTGTAGATGGGAGCTTGATAATTACAATGCCCTTCTAGTCACGCTTCTAGTGATGACTTGGGAATCAGGAAAATGAAAAATGACCCAAAGAGAAATGCTTGACTGAAGTATTTACTGAAGTAAATACTAATGTGAAGCAGAAAAGTGCCCGTGTCCTTAGAATTCATGACTGTGTTCAGTAAAGCTCCTTACACAAAAGAAACATACAATAAATGTTTACTAAGTTGAATCACCAAGGTTTCTGAGTTTACAGATATTAGAAACTTTCTGAAATCCATGCTACTCAAAGTAGGCAGTAAAATGAGCAAGCTAATCAACAGCTCTGCCCCCAAACCCTTTAGAATTAGAAGCTAATTGGAGATTTGAGCAAAGAGATAGGAAAGAGAGCCTTTGGTGTGTTTGAGAGGCAGTGAGAAGGATGGAGTTCTCAGAATGACCAATTTCATGAAAGGAAAGTTGTGTTGACTCCCTTTCAGTGCATTGGTATGGGATGAAATGTTTCTAAATTTTAATTTAGCCAAATTGAATGCCCTATATCAAGGTTACTATACTTACTGCCAGAAATGTTGCTGATTTTACCCAAAGACTATGTCCACAGAAATAAACTGCATTAGGTTTCAAGCTCTAATAGATTGCAAAAGCAAAGTATAGTGTTCTTTCTCATTTCAGTAACACAACAGCTTTCTCAAAAAATGAAGGAAAACTAAAGATAGGAATTTACACCTTCTCAAGGGGATTGCTGGAAATGACTCCAAATAAAAATGTCCACGAATCTATCCAACACACTCAAAATGAAGACCATCAATCTAGTGTTGAAATTATGATGATTAGTAATGCATTATAGAGTCTCCACTTACTATACTAAACAGAATAAGCATAAGTAAATAATGCTTTTTCAGTGTTATCTAAATTATGGTAAAGAACAGTTCAATAAAGCATCAGATTTAGCATGTGAAAAATACAAATTTATAAGCTCCATGGCCCAAGTAATATAAATTGGAAAAATCTTTTTGCAATTATGTGGAATTTTAAGTCAAATTACCTATAATTCAGTATTACTAAAGTGAATGACATCAGGCTAATTTTTCCTGATCATTCAACATCTGGTTTTTCATTTTTCCTTCCATATGCAAAACAGTAAATGAGTTCATCTCCAAAGCAGACAATGAGTTAACTTCTTACCATTTTGTTCAAATGTTCTATTTTAAATTCCTTCCTTCAACAAAGGACTATTCTTCTATCCTTTTGTTATTGTATGTTCCTTTTGAATAGTTTCCAGGAGTAAAATAACTAACCATGAAAAAAACAAGAGTTGCTCTTAACATCCTTCATATAAAGTTTAGATGGTGTTATTTCATGATGAATAACTCTTATCATGCTGTGGCTCACACGTGGTATATTAAATGTTGCCTTGGCAACAGACATCATTTCACATGCCCACTATCAGTTGAAGACATGAAAGATTCTAGCTTATGAACACAGTGCTGCTTTTGGTGAGAAAATTTTCATGTCATAAAACAAACAGTGAGAATACCAGAAATATAGTACTGATGGGGTTTTATAGTACAACTTTAATACACTGAAATACATAGTCATTCTAGGGCATTACTGAGAAACATTTTTGGAAATATTTCTGTGAAAACTTTATCATCAATGTATAAAAATAAATAACAGAATTTCTATCCTAATGGCACGATTGGTGGTATTTTCAAGAAAAACTTTCTAAAACATAAGTATCTGTCTTACATGTTAATATTTCATCTGAAAATGAAAAATGGATTTTTACAGTGCATCACACTAAAAGTTTAAGTAGCTCCTTACTGCAAGTCCAAAGAGCATGATTAAAGAATAAAGTAGCTTTCTGTTGTGTGAGGACACAGGAAAAGACTATGATACAGGAAGCAGCCCACACCACACACCAATCTGCCAGCACCTTGACCTTAAACTTGCCAGCATCTAGTAGTATGTGAAAATTATTTCTATTCATGAACCAAAAATAAAGTAAATTTTTAAAATGCAAAATAAAACAGTGCACTTATTAGGGTATCACTGAATTTTGTCTCTGAGACAATGAGGCACCACCTGCTGACTATAAAAATAGCAGACAGGGAAACTGGTTCAGATTTCATTTGGATTTTTCAAGATACAGATACTTAATTGGCTACCATTTCCAGCATCCAAGTCTCTTATAGCAACCCACTTGATCTACTTAATAAGATGACACAGATTTAAAACAGTAAGCATGCATATATATATATATATATATATATATGGAATTCTTTTAGGCAATAATTATAAATTTAATATTTCTATATATTCAAAATGTGCTCCTTCCAAATGTTATTTTTCCTCCATTCTCCTCCCACCCTCAAACTTAGTATCGTGTTTGATTTTATTAGTGCACTGATTATCTAGGATAGGAAACTCCAAGATATTTAACAAAATCAAATATTTCATACGAATACTGCTAAAGCAGTAAATGCGTTGATTCTACTCACCATTCTGTGGTAATGCAACACATATGCCAGAATCTCTAAGGTATTTTAGATGTTTTTAGCACAAAAACCATAATGGTGATGTTAACAGCTTCATCATCCCACAACCATGACAACATCCAAGCATTACACTGTACCTCACACATCCTACATCCTAAGCATGTCCTGTATGGGAACTCATTTCAGTGGATAGCAGGTTACCTACACGGGGCACTTACAGCCTTTCCTTCTCTTCCCTCCACTAATCCGGTGAAACGAATGCAAAGCAGGTAATGTTTATAAAGATGATTTATATTGATTAGGGCGGGTAAAAGCTCGAAGGTAGGCAGTCATCAATAAAGAGTGGTAATAACAGAAACGACCACTGCCACCTCCTTTTCATCTGGATGCAGAAGTTGAGCCAGGGTAGCCGTGCTTGGATTTACCCCTCGCCTCATAACAAAATATATGATAAACGGGATTTTCACCTTTGAGCCTCTTTCTTTTCACTTTCCTCCTCTCCTCCTCTGCCTGCCTTCTCCAGGCCGTCCCCTTTTCCCTCCCCGCAGAACACTGACCGGTCTTACCCAGTGCGTCCTCTCCCAGCCACCGCCACCACCCCCCCCACCCCCCGTAGTGGAGCAGAGTTAACAGAGCCCGAGGCCCCCAAGTAACACTTAGAGTAGGTGGCTCTAAAAGGGGTCTACGCAGCAGCCGCCAAGGCGCAGGCGCCCGCCCCCTCGCCCCAGGCCGCCTCGTTACTGTAGCGCCGGACCTACTCGACTGCCGCGGCAGCGCAGCGCAGCGCAGCCCCAGCTCCTGCGACCACAGCCCCACGGGACGCTTCCCGCTTTCCCGGCTGGCGGACGCCGCTGCTCGAGTCTGCGCGGCCGCGAAGATGGGCTCTGGGGGCAGAGGCCGAGCCGGGCTACTTCCAATGCCGCTGACACTCAGTACGCCCAAGGCCCCCGAGAGGCCAGTACCTGCATTTCGGGGTAGCAAGTTTCTTGGCTCCGCAAGCTGGGGCCGCTCGACTACCTTGGAAGAAAGGCTCGTGGCGGGGGGCAGGGGGGTCGGCCCGGATCCCAAAGCGTCGCGACGCCGAGCCTCTGGACGCGGCCCACGCCACGGTCCCGGATCTCTGGGATCCAGGGAGCTCTGGGAACCCGGCAGCGGGGGCGGCTCTCGCCGGGCGCCAGGCTGCCCGGCCAGGTGCGGGGTGCCCCGGGGTCTCGGGGCGCAGAGCTGCGCCGCGCCGCGCCGCCCCGCCCCGCAGGCCCCAAGGCCGGGTAGCAGGAAGAGAAGGCGCCCGGAACGCCGCGGAGTGCGGAGCCGAGGGCGTCCGAAGTCCAGCGAGCGCTCCCGAAACCGAGGCGAAGGGGCCTCCGCTCCTGCCGCCCGGGCTCGGGTCGCCGCCGCGGTCACAGCGCGGGTTCGGGTCCCCACGCCGGCCCGGCGTCGGCTCACCTGTGGCTGCGGTGTCCATGGCAACGGGCGGCCGCGGGTCCCACGGCGCCGCTTCGCGCAGCCCGGCGTCCGCCCCGGCTGCGGTCGGTGGCCCCGCTCCGCGCTCGCCCTCCCCGCGGTTCCCGAAGCCCCGGGAGCCCGGGCCGGCCTGCGGCGGCAGCGCTGCTCGCAGCTCGGGCGGCGCGGCCATGTCTGGAGACCCGGACCCGGCGCGGCGACGGCGGCTGGGCGGGGCGGGGCGGAGAGCGGGGCCGGGCGCTCGGGCGCGCGCTGCGGTCCTCACCGGGGCTCCGGGACGGAGCTGCGGAGTCTCCGCGCTGCTGCCGCACCTCAGCCTGCGGCTCCCGGAGCCTCGGCTCCTCCCCCTCCCGCCCCTCCCTCCCGCCCCTCCTTTCCCTTCCCTTCCCCCCTTCCTCCTTCTCTTCCTTCTCTCCTTCCTCTTCTCCCTCCCCTCCCCCTCCTCCTCCCCCTTCCTCTTCTCCCTCCCCTCATCCCTCCTCTTCCTCCTCTCCCTCTTTTCCTCCCCTTCCCCTCCAATCCCCCTCCTGTCCCCCTCCCATCCCTTCCCTCCCCCTCTCCTCCTTTACCTCCCCGCCCACCGCGCTCCTCCCAGCTTCCCAGCCTGCTATTACACAGGTGGAAAAGAGCTGCTCTGACCAGCCCTGCTCCACACTCCTCACCCGGCCTGCTGAGATACTGGGATGCGCCACCTCGGCTCCAGCCTTCCCTTCCGTGGGGCTAGAACATTGGAAAGATCGCCAGGTAGAGGAGCCCCCAGCCTCAGCGTGACTAACGGGCAGCTGCGCCCCAACTCTAGAAGTTAAGTCACCATTGCTGTCCTGCAACCCAATACCAAGAAAAGAGAATGGAGACCACGGAGCCACAGTTCCGAGGGTGACCGGTATCCGCTGGGAGGAGGGGCTTGAGGCAGATGTGGCGATTGCGACCAGGGAAGCCACAAGCCAGGGGTTTAACCCTGAGTCAAACTGTTTCAGGATCTGGGCTGAAAATACTGAGGTACAGGGCTGAGCTCTCTGGAGAAACTCCAAAAATAAAGCAAGCAAGTTTTCCAGACCTTAACTTGACCTGACCTGACTACAAATAGAATGTCAGTACGCAGGACTAAAGTAGCTATGACACCTTTCAGAAACAGTCAGCCAGAATCTTATAAATTCTGTGCAGAGGCGGTTTTATTTGAGAAGCTGGGCACTCCAAGATGCTTTCTCTTTCTCCTCCTCCCCCCTTCCTCTTCCTCTTTCTTCCTCCTCCTCCTTCCACTTCCTCTTCCTGTACTGTACTCTCTGATAGGAGGGAAGACACTTAACAGAGGACGAAAGTAATTTATTTGCTTATCATCACTCCATATTCGGACCCAACTTTTCCCACGAACCTTGTATTTTATTGATTCCTAAATTGTTTATAAAATGATGTGCCTTGAAAAACTGAAGTCCCACACATAAAATCGAGAAATAGGCTTGTTTAAGGGCTCTGCTCTAGGAAGATGGCGGTGAGCTGTAGACTGCACTGCTGGATGTGAACTCCGAGCTGACGTTTGCACAGTTGGGTACGTACCAGCCAAACTCAGCACCACTGAGGGGCTCCTCAGAAATGCTAAAACTGAAAGCCGCAGATTCAGCTGAATCTGTTCTTTACTAGTACACTAATGTTCAAAAGGTGGCAATAAATGGAAGAAAAATATGATCACTAAGCAATGAATATGGCCTTCTAATACCAGATGCCCAAGGAGACCTAAGGGTCACCAAAATTTTACACTATTACTGTATTAAAAATTATCTCAAGTAATGACCAAGTTCATCATCTTTATTGGGCATATAACTCCCAAATGCATCTGTCATTGCAAACATGGGCAATTTAGTGTGTGTTAATTGTACCTCAATAATCCTATAAAATTATAAATATAACAAATTCTTGACTATCATGAATCATCAAAGTTTTTAAAATATTTCTGTGAAAACAAGAGCCCATTTAAGAAATCATTAAGATGAAAAGCTTATGACTGGCATCTTTCCAGGGAGCTTATCCATTTGTGTAATCAAGGGATACTTGGGAGACTTTTTTTCAGGTCTGTTGTTTAGAATGCCCTAAAGCAGCAGATATACCAGATGGCAATCTCTGGGTTTCATTATTAACATGCCAAGAACACAGAAAAAACTAATGATGTAACACGAAATGATTATTAATGGGCAATGAATATTTGAGAATTGCTATGGGGAAGGAGTTACATACAGAATAATGTGGAATATGTTATTTTGTTTCTCTGAGAAAGACAGATGAAAGTCATTTAAAAACTGGAATGCCTATCCAAGCCTTTTAGCTTCCTTATGATTAAAAAGTTATGGAGTTTTGAGATATAATTCTATTTCTACGTATTTCATCAGATTCTGATCAATTTGATACTATGTGGAGGAAATGTCCAGTTACAGACATTTAGATTTACTGATTGGAGGAAATTGATGATTCTATTTTGACAAGTTATGCTTTTTTACTCTTCTGAAATGCAGTGGGGAGGGCTGCAGTTTTCACTCAGTGGTAAATTGCTTGCCTAGTATATATGAGGTTTGATCCTGAGCATCGTTGCCTTTGAGACAAGAAAATAAAGTTGTCACTTTTAACAGATTCTTAACAAAAAGAGTTGAAACAAAAGAATTGTTAATTTTTTTGTCTTTAGGCTCCATTTATTTTTTAAAAGTTCTTTTCATGTCAAAAGAAAGGCTCAGGTGAAAAGCATTTATTTTGTTCTAGCTTGTCAGCTTTTACCAATTCTTGTAACATAGGGAAAAGAGAGTCAGGAACATGAAAGAAAAATGTCTTGTGAACAGATCTCACCCAAGGTGAAATTCTCTCTATACTCGAGTTATTGAATGTTTGTATCTCAGATTCCTCAACTATAACCTGGAGACTTTAATCCTTTGCATAGGATTTAGGAGAGCACTAAATGGTTGGCACATGTATAATATATTGTCAATTTAAGTGACTTCTAATGTTAAAGCTGTGACCAGGTTATAGACAGAGTTAGTGAGATAAAGAATGTTTGATAATTACCCTGATTTTGTAATTCCTATATTCTGAAAAGTAAACGATATAATGATAAGGTATTTCAAAGGTTCTTAAAGTAGTTGGGACAAAAATACACACATACTTCAACTTGGAACAGCCTACTTCAGAAATGGCGAGTAGGACCCATTGATTGCTAAGCAGTGACTGCTGGGAGGCTTGTGCCGAGAAAGTGTCATGGGCCACACTCAGATTCTGTAAGAAAGAGTGGCAGAAGGGTATAAGTAGCAGCTACACTCAGGCAAGTGAAGGAGGCAGGCAACACACACCACACATTTACCTTCTCTGGCTCAAGTTTCTACCTGTATTGGCATCGACCTAGGCCATACTCTTGTGAAGTCACTCTCATCGACTTAGAAGTTTGACTTAAAAAACATCAACTTAAAGAAGATGAGACACACTGTGGTGCCTCAGATTTCTCTGAAATCATCGTATGTGGTCAATATGGGATTAATTTGTCTAAGTGGAATTCAGATCATTTGCAAAATGACCTTCATTTTTATGCAGTGTGTAGACACTATTGGAATTGACTGGGAAAAGAGTCCTTGATTTCCTCTGCAGGGAGAAGATATCTAGATTGAAACTAATTTGTAGAGGCTGCAGACTCAGGCCTAAGACACTGTGTGTTCTCCAGGAGTCCACCACAATGCCCAGCAATGCTCCAGGACATTTCAAGAACACAGCATGCTCCTCTCAGGGGAGAGTGGTTGCTGTTGCCTCATCTGCCAACTAGGGACAAAACAGAGTCTCCTGGCGGCCTACTGCCAGTGGGAAGTGGGAAGGGTATCGCATTTCATTGAACACAGCATTCTTCATTGTTAATGTATTTGGGTAAGACTACAAATATGTTTTATTACTTTGGACAAATATATGAAATAGGAGAGCTGTAATTTCAATTGCCCTTGCTGTGGACACAACAAAAACAGTGCAAAGTATCCTGAACTTCAAAAGCAATCAAATATAAAGACAGAGGTAAATTGCCTTTTTATAGTGCTTTACAGTTTATGGTGTACACCCACTAGGATATCACCTAACATACACACACACTCACACATTGAATTTCCTATTTCATTAAGAGATAGGATATCTCATGATAATTTTACTTGTTAATTTATTTATGACTAATGAATTGGGAGCTTTTATGTCCTTAGTAAATTGTGTTGCTCTTTTTAATAACAATTATATTAAGATTTAACTCACTCACTGTACAAGTTAAAGCATATAACTCAAAGGTTTTTTAGTATAGGGTGCTACAACCATCACCACAAGCAATTTAAGATATTTTTGTCCCTTAGAAAGGAAATTCTGTATCCACTAGAAGTGACTCCCTAACTCACCCTGAACCCCAAATGCAGTCCTAGGCAATCAAGTAATCTATTGTCTATCTCTGTAGATTTGCCTATTATGAGCATTTCATATAAGTGGAATTACACACATGACTTTTTATGACTGATTTTTTTCACTTACTGTAACATTTTCAAGGCTTATACCAGTAGCATATTACATTCCTCTGATTGATGTTTAATATTCCACAGTATGACTATACTTCCAGTTGTGCATCCATTCATCAGTTGATAGACATTTAGGTTATCATCTTCTGTTGATTGTTACAAATGGTACTGCTAAGTATTTTCACCTTTTTGTTTGGCATGTTTTCATTTTTGTTGGTTAAAAATCAAGAATTAGAATTGTGGAGTCAAGCGTGGGGCATAGCTCATCTAGAATGGATAAAGCTCCAGATTTTATCTCAAGTAATAGAATGATAATCATGATAATAATGATAGCTGAGTCCCCTGAAGACTCTAAGTTTAACTGTTTGAGGAATTGTCAAAATATTTTTCCAAATCAACTACACCTCTTAAAAATTTCACTGCTAACACCCTACACCTATACCATTGCAGCAGCCAGTGCAGCCCCATGGGCAGCAAGGAGGACCTCATAAGATTATGGGGAGGAGGAACAAAACTGATATGGAGACTCTGAGTTTATGATCCAACTCCTCAGTTTCATTAATCCAATTTTGCTCAAAGCCAGCCTTCCAAATTACAAAGAGGCTCTCCTGATACCATGTTCTTCTACAGTGCACTGCACTTGACAAGATCCTGCTCAGTATGATCTTTGCCTTTGCTTTGACATCTGAGCTGGAGAAATGATGTACCTGTGAAGACTACCATCAGTGTTATATGGCAAAAAATACTGAAGTGAGTTTCCCCATGCTAATATTCTCCCAGGAAAATCAAGAAGATAATAATGTCTCAGACATTAATTAGCATTATTGACTGAAGAAAATCTTATATGATGATCTTTATTCTAGTGCTAGCTGTGTAAAACATAAATAGGTGAAACAGTGGATCATATAATAACCAGAAGAGGGAGGTAAGAAGCAGATAAAGAGCCTCTCTGAGATTTTCTGTCTAGACACTGGAATATAACAACATGAGGAAGACAAGGAGGGAGACATCAGGGACCAGGAAGGATCTGAAGTGAGAATTGAAGCCCATAGAAAGAGTGAAGAGAGAAAATTAAAGAAGGTGGAGCTTTCTTCCTGAGTTGAGACTCACTGTGTTGAAGGAGCAGTTCAAACCTGCGGACACATGCTGACTTCTGGCAACCTCAGAGGCTTCCATAGACTCAGCAGTGGAAGGGAACAGTGGACATAGAGGACTGTGGTGACTGGTGGTGAGTACTGCATCCTGAGGAGAAGGCTATTCGCTTGAAGCCATTTTGGAGAGGGACCAACTGAGCTTGGAACTTAGAAAAACTGCTGGCTCCATCTCATGGTTCCCAGCTCAGTTCAAGCCCTCAGAAAGTGTGCTGGCTAGAGCAGGCTGAATGGATCTGGTTACAGCCTCACATCCAGAAACTACCCTGACCTTCAGAGGAAATCAAAGTGCAGGCTTACTGAGATTAACCACTACCCCACCATAAAGCTACTGCTGACTTGCAAGGATAAATCAACATGGATCTGGACTCTGTCCCCACACCCTGTCTACCAGTGACAATAGTGACAAATCTTGGAGATTTTTTCTCTTTCCCTTTTTTTGTTTCTTTGTTTTCTTTTATTGTTTGATTTTCTTTTAATATGAGTGTGAACATTGTTTCTAGTTTTTTTGTTGCTGTTGTTCTGTTGTTCCTTTTGTTTCTTCTCTCTTTCCGTTCTGTCCTCTGTACTGATTTCCCAAAGTTTGTGTGACCCTCCTTTGTTCTCGAGTCTTGCTTTTAATCTCCTCTTCTTCTGTTTCTTTATTTTTCCCCCTAACCTCAATTTTCATTCCTGAGGGTAAAATTGGCATATTGAGGGCTTGTTTGTTGCATACAATTTCATGGTTTGTTTTAGATTTTGTTCATATGGTTAAAGGTGGAAAATCAATGGTTATTTATGTTAGTCATTCTCTAGGTTGTGCTTTTTGCTATTGTTATTGCCACTTGTACCACTTTAGCCAAAAGTGACATAATTATTCTAACAAGTTGTTTTTCTTGGTATTTCAA